TGTGTGTACATGGCTAGCAGTGGTCCCCACCTAAGGGAGACTCTCTCTCTGGCAAGATACACATTCACTTGCCACGGTGCTGAGGCAACACACTTAGCTCAGATGGGACTTCTGCCTCCACTTTGGCCCTGATCCCCACACAGTGCCCTTGGGTAGTGTCCATCCTTCCCCTGAATCCCCAGTAGCTACCCTGAGCAGGGCATCCAGCAGGGGAGCACTTTCTGTCCTTCAGGATGCATTTGTCTAACCACATGGCCATGCAGAAATGGGATGGGGGTAAGTTCATGGGCTCTAGAGATATGGAAAAACTCTGTCATGTTCTCTCCACCTAAGTGACACCAACCTTCCTGGCCCCTCACTATCTCGACATGGCCTTTGAACAGGAAAAACAGCCCCCAAACAACTGTGATCCTTTAATTCAGCGGGAACCTGAGCCTTTCTTTCTCCAAGTGAGCCAGTTGGGGACTGTGGTTTTACAGGAGGCACCTGCTACTGAGCAGCACTGGGGCCTGGTGGGCCAGCAGAGCCTCCCCACAAGCATGGTAGTAAGGGGCTGCTAAGCTGGCTAGGGCCTGGTGTCCATATCCACCTTCCTCAGACACTGCCACCCCCTCCCTCAATCTCACCTGCACAAAGGGGAGAGCAGCCACCCTGAGCAAAGACCTCCAAGCTGGAGCCCACACCTGAAGGAAGGACACAAACCTCAGCCTCAGCCTGGGCCTGCATGTCCCAATGCTCACTATCTGAGACACAAACGCACAGGGCTTAAGTGGCCCCTGGTGCAGCTGCTCTCTTCTCTGTAGGCAGCCCAGACTAGGAATTCAAGCGTCTAGCCTCTTGTGGCAGCTTAGGAAAAGGGCCTCTTGCCACTGTGGGTTCTAGCTAAAAAGCGTCCTTCTAATTTGAGCGATAGGACCCCCCTAGTGCCCAATTCCCCCCAGTGATTAGAGAGGGCAGTTGACAGGTAGATACTAATAAGGGAAATCCTGAAGCCCAACACCAGCCCCCAGCCAAACTTCTATGGCCAGCATCAGAGACCAATGACTCTTCCTGACCCTTCTGCAGAACCAGCCCTTCATCGTAAGAAGAACAAAGCAATTCTGTCTGTGAGGGGCCCAGTGTGTTTGACTGGGTGACTACTCCAGGGAACCACCTAGCACAATCCAAGTCTTTCAGCATCAACCAGTCAGGACACACCAGTCAGATGACACCATCACCCTCTGCTGGGAGAATACTTTTCCAGGAACTGATATCTACTGTCTAAAAAAAAAAAAAAAAAAAAAAAACCAACCAATTTAACCATGGGGAGCTGGTTATGTGGTATGTTCACTTTGGCTAAATTCATTGAGGTATGCACAATTTGCGCACTTTTTTTTTTTTTTTTGAGACAGAATCTCATTTTGTCGCCCTCGGTAGAGTGCCATGGCATCACAGCTCACAGCAACCTCCATCTCTTTGCTTAAGCGATTCTCCTGCCTCAGCCTCCAGAGTAGCTGAGACTACAGGCGCCTGCCACAATGCCCGGCTATTTTTTTGTTGCAGTTTGGCCAGGGCCTGGTTCCAACCTGCCACCCTCGGTATATGGGGCCGGTGCCCTACCCACTGAGCCACAGGGGCCGCCCAGAAGTGGATGTTCTTATCCATAAGGTAGTGAGGGAGAATTCAACAAATTATGAGGCAAATTTCCAAACACACCCCCTCTCCCACTTCAGCCTCCAGGAGTGACTGAATTGTAAAGAAGTGTACTCCCTTGCCAGGCTGCGGGGGATCAGACAGCCAGAAAAAAGATGAAAGGGCAGGCAATCAATAGCAGAGGAGGTGCAGGATGAGAGAAAGCAGGAGCTTGGGCAATGTGAGCATCTTTAAAGGCACCCCCCCACCCCCACCCTCACACAAATACACACAAAGACACAAGACTAGAAAAGCTTCATTTGCTAAGACCAAGTTCCCTTGTGAAATAACCCATTCCCAGATCAATCAGGTAAAGAGGTCTCAGGGACACCCCTCCTCACAGAACTTGCAGTCAAAAGTCTACCCTACAAACTAGAAGAACTTTCCTCTCCTCCCGTGCACCAACAGTTGGGAGAAAAAGCCCTGTTTGAACTGTCCAGGGACATCTCACTAGTTGAAACCCCTCTCTGTGAAGCCTTCCCACCCACTGCTGAAGAGCTCATAAGAATTGTTTTTACCCCCACATTGTTTAAAAAACAAACAAGAACTTTCTTGCCTTCTATGAAACAGTGCTTTTTTCCTCTCACCTCAGAAGAACGGACATGAATCTATGATTATTTTTGGCCTCTTACTGCAGTCCGGGACAACTGTAAACTGCTGACAGCAGTCCCATGCACCCCACTTCCCTTTCTGACCCTTCTGCAGGGCCACAGTAAAGGATCCACAGCAGGACCCAGGCCAGGGTGGGCCAGAGGAAGCCCACTGGAAGCCTTCACTCTACAAGGCAAGGGGACCAGACTTCCCCAGAAAGACGCCCACCAGGCCTAGCCACAAATCCTCTAGGGGCTGGGCGCCTGGGGCTCCTGGAGGGGAGGGAGGCTGGACGCCTGAGCGGCTGGCGGTGACATCCCCATTTTACGGATAAAGACTCCGAGTGGCGAAGGACCTACGCCAGCCAGGGAGAGGCCACTGGGACACCCTCTTTCTCTTCTCTTGTCTGCACTGAGTCTCGCCGAGTACGGGGAGTTCTGGGCCCTGTGGGCCCACAGCCACAGCGGCGGCTCCCCAAGGTCACCCCACGCAAATGCCGGCCCTCCCCCCAGTGCTCACCGGCTGCTTCCCGGGGCTGCGCCCTCGGGCGGCGGGGTGGAGATGAGGTTGGGGACCGCGTTGGACGGGCCTGGGGGGACCACAGCGCTCGCGGCCCCCAGCCCCGCCGCGGCCGCGCCGCGGGACACAAGCCCCATTTCCGCCGGCTCTGCGCGTTGCCACGCGACGGTCCGGCCCCCAAAGGCGCCCGGGCTGCCCGCCGGCTCGGTTCGAGCGTTCCGCGCGCGCAGCGTTTGCACGCCCGCCCCCAGCTGCCAAGCCTCATTGAGCTCCGATTCCTCACCTGAGGGACCGAGCGGGCCGGACCTTTGGGAGACCCAGACCCCGCCTTGCTCCCATCCTCCCAGGGTGAAAGGACCCCTAGGCCCTACGTGAAATACCAGAAGGAGCTTCCTTCTCCCCAAGCTGTTCCCTTCCTACACTGCCCTCTGCAGAGGAGCTTGCTCCCAGGTCCCCCAAGGCCAGCGGTTCGGGAAGTTTGAGCGAGCCCTGAAGGGCCAGCCCAGAGGCTGCAGCTGTCTGACTGTGGGGAGGGCACTTGCATGCGGCCCTGGTTTCTTCCTGCTCCAGGGAAGGACACCGCTCCCTCATTTGGGCCCGTTGCGTTCCCCACCCTGACATACTTAGGGGACCTGTCAGGCGCCAAGGCACAGAAACAGGCCCTGTCTCCTCCCAGCTCTTTCCCATGAAGACTCCTGGCTGGGCCCCAGACTCACTGAGTAACCCAAATGTCTCTCAGACCTCATTTCCTCACTTGTAAAATGGTAGGAAAGGGTTAGGATCCATGGTTTTTCTCACTTTCTTAAAGAAACATGAGTCTATCCTCATAGGAAGGCTCCCCTGCAATAGCCATGACCCCGGAGCTGTGTGGTTCCCATTGGCATAGGAGAAAATAAAGGCTCAGGTAGCCTTCATTCGTGTGGCAGTGAAAGAGAGGGCACCAAGACTCCAAACTCAGCCATGTGTGACCAGGGTACCTCCAGGGCTACCCACCATCACCACCTCCCCTTACCTTCAGTAGGCCCAGAGAAGCTCTGGACTGTGGGTGCCTCGAAAGTTGAGGACACTGGGGGACCACACCCCTCTCTCAAGCTGCCCAGCCCAGCCACACCCTCCCTGCCTGGCTCTGATTAGGAGGTTGGGCTGGGACACTTGGCAGGAGATCCTGCCCGGATACTACTGGAAGGTGACCTGATGGATGGAGGATCTCAAGGCTTCCACTGCAGGCTTGAAAGTTCAGGCCTCCTGGGACCGGAACCAGTGTCTGAGTGGACATGGGAGTGATAGCACAGAGTCCAGAGGGAGGCCTGGCAGACAGCTGATTCATGGTTGCTAGTGAGATAGGGACCCTTGCCAAGAGGAAGATAGAAGGTTAGGCAAGGGCCAGGCACAGTGGATGCTCCTGGTGAGGAGGGCACAGCCAGCAGTCCCAGAGCAGAGCATCCCACCAACCATGTACATTCCTCTGATGGTAATCCAAGGGTCTAGAGGCTGGCCTCACCTGAATCCACCTCAGTATAGCCATCCCTGGCATTTGACACCAGGATTTGGCCCTAGAGTGTACAGAATACACCCAAGGGCTGCCTCAGGCCCTCTGACACCAGGCAGATGAGTGGCCTAGCCCAGGGAAACAAGGTAACCTGGCTCCCCAGGGAGCCTAACAGCTGACGGGCATTGCACATGGCTAAACCCCTGTGCACAGTGATGCTCCATCAGTCCCTGGAACCACCCAGCATTGAGACTGAGAGCAGGGGCTCCCAGGTAGAGCCCAACATGGGCTGTACTCAAGTCCAAGCACATAGTCCCTCAACAGGAGGGCTGTGGATGCCTTGGAGGGAACAGAAAGGTGGCTACAGACCTGAGGGCTCCCAGGCAGTATACTGCAGTACATGGACAGCCCAACAGATGAACTTGCTGAGCACTACAAGCCCCAGCACTGTCCCAGCCACATCCTCTGGAAGAAAGATTCTGGCTCCAGGATGAGGCAAGGCAGAATGCACATGGATCATCCCTCATGGACACAGGGGCAGCTCCAGCTGTCAGGAAGAGCAGGCTGTCTGGGGGTCTGGGGGGGCAGTGCAGGATCCACCTGAGCAGCTGGGAATGCCAAAAATAAGTAGAGTCTCAAGTGGGTCCAACATGAGTTATGGGCCCCAGGGGTCAGCAGGTCAGCATAGGAGACTCAGAAGGTCAAGGAGCCAGGGCCAGGGGTGGGTAGGCAGAACCGGCTCAGCTTCTGTACAGCTGAGCCAAGTTGGGGGCTGCAAGAAAGAATGATACACAGCTCGGCACCCGTAGCACAGTGGTTACGGCGCCAGTCACATACACTGAGAGTGGTGGGTTCGAACCTGGCCCAGGCCAACCAAACAATAATGACAATGGCAACAAAAAATAGCAGGGCATTTTGGTGGGCACCTGTAGCCCCAGCTACTTGGGAGGCTGAGGCAAGGGAATCGGCTTAAGCCCAAGAGTTTGAGGTCGCTGTGACACAACAGCACTGTACCAAGGGCAACATAGTGAGACTCTGTCTCAAAAAAAAAAGAAAAAGAAAGATAATGAGGGGTGGTGCCTGTAGCTCAAAGGAGTAGGGTGCCAACCCCATATACTGGAGGTGGAGGGTTCAAACTTGGCCCTGGCCAAAAACTGCACCAAAAAAAAAAAAAAGAAGAAAGAAAGATAATGAGGCACCACTGTGTGCCAAGAGGCAGTCAGTACTCCTGGCCCTTCCAGGCAGTGTTGGTGTCCTCTCATTTCACAGAGAAGAAACCTAAGGTACTGGGTGACAAGGCTGAACTGGGTCCTAGCTGTGTTCCTCCAGGACCCCAAGTGGCCTCTCAGGAGTCATGGCACCTAAAACTGAGTCTGAGAGATGCTTGCTGTGGGTTTTCCCAGAGTCCAAAGTGAGCATCACAGCATCCCAGGGTAGGGTTAGGGGTGACAGCAGCGTTTCTCAAACTCCTCTTGCCATGAATTCTCTTCCTTTCTAGGGGTGGCCATCCTCTCTGCCCCCAGGCCAGGGAGACTTCCAATCCCTAAAAGGTAAGGTGGGAAGGCCCACGCAGAAAGACTTCCCTGGGCTCTGCCCCAGGGCTGGATGGCTGCAGCCTCTGTGGTGAGAACTAGAGCCTGAGAGAAGAGAAGTGGCACCTGAGGTTCCCAGGTAGGGACAAGCTGGGCATAGGGGTGCCAAAGTGGGCCTTGGCCGTGTTTGAACATTGGCCCGGGGAAGATCTGTGAAATGTACGTGGAGGCCCCTGGGGCTTCACAGTGCTGCTGCATTCCTGATTGGGGCCTTCGCACAGGCTGTGTTGCCCTACACCTGTTCCAGCTGCCCCTGGTGGCTGGAAGCCACTCAGCCAGTCCTCCTCTCTCAATAAAACACTCTCGTGATGAGGCAGCCCCAGGCCACCCCTCCAAGCAGGGCCACTGTATTTGGCCATGGAGAAGGTGACTGCTGGTTGGAGTCTGGGGGCAGGCCATGCAGGAGGTCAGTCCTGCCTCCCCTAGCCGGTGATAGGCAGGATGGTTCCATTTCTGTACGTGTGAAACTGCATGATGCTGCCCAGCAGAGCAGCCTCACCTCTCTGCCTGGAGAGAGAGGAGAATTGAAGTACAATAGACGTGTCAGGGTGCTGATGGAAGGCTACAGAAAGGGTGTCTCCTGCAGACCTGGGGACCCTCTGGACACCTGGCTCTGCTCACAGCCCCCTATAACCCCACCAGGAAGCTGTGGGTAGGTGCCTGGCTGGGACCTGTCTGCCCCAGTCTGACCCATAGCACTCCTTGCCTGGCTGGCTGCACTCCACCTCCAGACACCTTGAGGCAGGGTGGGTGGCCGATGCTATCACCACCAAGTACAGGGAACAAGGCAGCCTCAAGTCCTGGTCCTGCTGGCCACAGTCCAGCCAGCCCAGCCCTAGCTCAGAGAGCTGGTGCAGGCAGGACCTGCACCTTCTCAGAGGGCAATCTGGGCTCCAGGGGCCACTCTTGGGTGGGCTTGGAAGGTGTAGCCCACTCCTCGGGGACAGTAGTGATCAGCTGTGGGGGGTTCTGCAGGCTCCTGCCCATCCACCCTCCATTCCCTGCCATGGGAAGGCCAAGCTAGGCCAGGCTGGGTGGGAGGCAGCGAGCTGTGAAGGCCACTGATGCCTATCATGGCTGCAGGGGCTGGCGGGGGCCCAGCAGAACCCACGCTGGGTAAGCAGCCCTGAGCCACAGAATGCAGGGGGCACCGTTTAACTACAGGGAAGGCTGACATTAGTGCTGCCTTGCTGGACTTGGGGGCTGGAGAATGCACAAGGGATCCCTGCCCACCCCCAACCCACAGAACATAGGACAGATCATCCTGAGCAGCCCCAGACCACACATGCCTGCCTCCCACCTCCCTTCACCCAGTACCCTATGCTGGAAACCCCCACAGCACCCCCAGCCCCTCCAGGAGAGCCCAATCCGCGGGAGGGTTAGGATTCAAAGCTCAAAGCCCAGACATCATCTTCCTGTGACAGAAATTTCTGAGGGGTGTCTGAGTAGTTATGCCAAACAACAAAGGAAGGAGGCTTAGACAGGGGTGAAAGGCAGTTTCTATTTTAATGTCCTCAACTATGATCAATAAATAGCTGTGACCTCTGCTGTCCCTGGGTGACCCCAGAGACAAGCCTTGGCCACAGCTTGGCAAGGGTCTATCCACATGCAGGCCAAGGCTGGATGGGTCCCAGGCCTTGGCTATGGGGCTGAAGCAGGGGCAGAGGAGGGGGGCCCAGGGCTGCAGGAGTGGGACCAACATGAGTAGACTACAAGAGCTGGGATCAGACCTTGGCAACTGGGGGACTTGGGAGGATGTCTTCAGGGTGCTGAGAGCTCCCAGCCCCAACACAGGGGCCCCAGCCACTGCCAGCAATCGGGTCCTCAGGGGCCTGCAAGGGGAGGCCTGGGGGTGGGACACTGGAGTCTGCCTCGCACTTGGTGGTGTGGCCAGAGAAGGGTTCTGGTGCTGGGGGGGCCATCATGCTAGGTGACTCAGGGGTCCCTGGGGCCAATACGGGGTGCAGTTCAGCTGACCCCCAGATCCCCTCAGACCTCTTGGTGGGCATGCGTTTCACAGAGAGGTCAAGGGGTGTGTCTGGCGGTTGCACAGCCCGCTCCAGGGCTTGGTGAATGGTGAGCAGCTCAAGGCGGATCCTGCCCAACTGCTCCCTCAGAGGTCTTGGGGCCAGGCCTCCTGCAGGTGCCAATTGCCCCAGGCGTTGCTCCACCCTGGCGAAGTCGCCCAGGGCCCGTGTCAGGTCCTCACCCATGTGCCCTGGGCTTCCTGGCACTGGGCCCCGAGCCTGTGGGAGGAGGGAGCCCTGGGGGCCAGTGGTCTCAGGGTCTGTGCCCGGGTCCTTGTCCTCAGGCCAGAGCACGGCAGATGGGGCGGTGGGCAGGCTGTGGGGTAGAAGCTGGTGAGAAGGCTGTGCTGCCCCACAGTGCCCCAGCCCCACTCACTCCCCATGTGCTCTGCTCCCCATAGCCCCCCATCAGCCCAGAGCCTGGGGACCCCAGAAGATAGGCCTCTATACCCTGGATCCCAGCCACCCAATCAGCCCTCAGACCCCACCACCCTAGACCTGGGAGCCCAGTACACCCACCTGCTCTGGGAGCAGAACCTGGCCAGGTCAGGAGAGGTCTTTGGGAGCTCCAACCTGCTCCCCAAAGGTGGCCTCTTCTTGAGGTCATACTGGGCAGTCTGCTCTAGCTCCCCCTCCTGCCCTGGGTCCCTAAGGGTGCTGCAGGGCCAGGGCCCCCCCAGCAAGCCAGGATCAAGCATCCTAGGGGGGCCCTTGGGGCAGGGAGGGGCCTTGGCAGAGGCAGCCTTCCCAGCTGGCAGTCCTAGAGCATGCTCCAGTAGCAGTGGGCAGTATAGGCGGGGGGCCAAGGCTGGGCGTTCAGCAGGCTGCAGGGCTGGGAAGGCTGTGGCTGGGGGCAGCAGGGGCCCGGCTGAGGCCAAGAAGGGCACATGGGCTGCAGCAGCCAGTGAGGGCCCCAAGTAGGAGAAGAGGCCTGGGCTGAGAGGGTAGTTGACTCCCAGCAAAGACAGTTGGAGGCTCTGGGCCTCAGAGAACTCTCCTGGTGTGGGTGGGGGGTAGCAAGGGGCATTGCCCTTGGGGCCAGATGCAGCCACATCCCCCACAGCTGTGCTCCTTAGGCCTCCACTCACCCCTGGCTTCCAGGACTCAGCCAGGAGCCCACCTGGGCCCAGACCCTTCTGGGCAGCCCTAGCCGCAGCAGGTAGGGACCCTGGGGACCCCTTGGCCCCAGGTTTGGGGCCCCCACTATGGTGCAGGGAGAGGATGTCAACAACTGCCAGGTCAGGCGTGGTGGCTCCTTGTGGCTGGCTGCCAGGGTCTGAGGAGTCTCCTGGGAGGGGAGGAGTGGGTGCATGGGGCCTGGGTGTGGCAGGAGCGCGGCGGAACGCCCAGTCTGGGGAATCCAGCAGCAAAGACAGGGAGTCTTTGCAGAGGCTGTACTTCATGTGGTTGTATAGGTGCGACTTCTCCAGGCAGGTGAAGGGGCACTGGAAGCACTTGTAATTGTAGGGTTTGCCCCAGGGCCGCGGGATGTAGTGTGGCTTCTTGGGCTTCCTGGACCGTGCCCTGGTCCCTGTGCACACTCTGCTTGAGCCTGGCTCTTGAGACATTGCAGCTATTGGGCAGGCCCAGGCAGGGCTGGGCACCACAGCCACCTGCAGAAGTGGGGGCCACCATCAGAATCAGCTCCGCCTCTAACTGACCCTCCCAGCCTACCTTCAGGATTCCCTAGGCACCAGTGGCAAGAGCACAGGTGTCCCCGACATCTGTCCTGCAGCCCTCACCCTTCAATTCCTCTACATGCACTTTCAGGGTAGCTAGATGTGGCAAATAAAAACACAGGACGTTTAAATCTGACTCAGATAAACAGTAATTTTTTTCATTTTTAGTATGGCTTAGGTAATATTTGGAACAGACACTAAAACATTATTCGTTGTTCTTCTGAAATTTAAGTTTACCTGGGCATACTGGGTTGTATCTGGTGACCCTACACAATTCCCCACCCCTGAGGCCACCCAGCCACAGGCCAATTTCTAGGATAATTCAGTTTGCATCCAGTTCCCCAGCACCAGGCAGGCTCCTGACAAGCACCCAGAGAGTGATAGAGCTGGTCCTACCCCGCTCCGGAACCCCTTGCCCTTGCTGAGCCCCTGCAGTAAAAGACGCTGAGATGATAAACCAGCAGAAGGCCCTGTGTCTGTGTGCACACATGCATGCACACCCGTGCATAGGCATGAGCCTGCTCTGGCGGGTGTCAGGTGGACACTGAGGGTCTCTGGGGGGGCAGACCAGGCTGATGGGAGTGGACCTTACAACACGGCCCCACGGTGCAGCCACCTGCTCAGCCCAGCTCCATCTGGGTGGCTTCAGGCAGGTTGGTGGCCAAGCCTGCAGCGGCCACGCTCAGCCAAGACCCGCTTCTCCCCATGCCCCACACATTCACTGGTAAGCTGCTCTGTACTCCATCTGGGCCGCCACCTGGGCTGTCCACTGCCCCAGCGTGTGTCTATGTGATTGTGTGGGGTGCACACAGGCTTCCGGTGTGTGCACAAGCACAGAAGGCTCCTAAGGTGCCCTCACACTGTGTGGGGAAGCACAGCCTCTGCACCACTAAGCCAACTCAGGGCTGGGTGTGCCAAGTGCAACCCTGGGCACCCATACACGCATCTCACCCCTACTCAGCGTGGACATGGCTGCATGTCTATTGAGAACACAGCACATTGAGGTGTGGGGAGGCACACAGGCTTATGCAGCATAGCCCATGTATGTGCACATATTACACACTACACCTGAGGGCACATGCAGACTTGGCTGGGACTCACACACAAGGTCACAGACATACTCATGGACACGGGCACACAAGACTCCTCATAGCTCATGGATGACCAGTGGGTGAGTGGGGCAGGGCTGGGCATAGCATCCACTATGCTGACCACCATAATTTTTGTCCATGTAGACAGTTATGTCTGCTGCCCCCCAAAATTGGGTGGGTACCCCTGTTAGGAGACCACTTAAAGGGTGGGTGGAGAGGTGGAGTTGGGTCTCCATTGAGGGGGCTATAGGCTGGGAAGATGGGGCAAGCAGGAACTGACTGGCTGGTTTTCAGCCCAGAGGGTGTAGGGGTTGGAAGAGAATGCTGAGCCTGGGGCTCCTGGGGGCTGCAGACCCAGCCTGGACCTGGTGATAGGTGCAGAGGCAGCCCCTTCTCCCTGTCCCCTTAGATGTGGATGACAAATGGGGGTGTGGGCTCTGGCAACAGAGGCGGCAGTACTGGGCCATCGATCATCCAGCCCTAGAAGCCACACAGCTGTGCCAACTGTTGTACCGCCCGCCCTGCCTCGTAGCTGAGATTGGGAACTCCTTCTGGGCTTCCCTTCAGATCAGATCTGGGTTGGGGGCTTAACCAGGAGCCATCTCAGCAGCTGCTGACCCCACAGGGACTCAGAGGATTCCCGTCACCCACCAGCATGCATGTACAGAGTTGAAGACATCTCCAGACACCAGCCAAATGCACACACACAAAGGGGCATACAAACCACACACATCCGGGCTAGTGGCTGGGTATGGCATCTCGGCATCACTGGGCAGCCTTAACTCTGCCAGCCCAGACATCAGGGCCCCACTGACCTTTCTCAGTCTGGGAGAGAACAGTGGTGGCAGAGGGGGCACATGAGGTCCCACCTCAGGACAGGAGGGGACACTCAACACCTGGGGCCAGAGAAACAGCCACCAGCAGGTCACAGCCCCCTGTTCCCGTTGGCCCTCTTGGGACTTAAGGAGCACCCACCGGCTGGGTGTGGAGGTAGGAGGGACCAGGCAGAGGTGGAGCTGGCTGGGACCCCAGCGCCATTCTTCAGTCCTCCCAAGTCGCACCCTTGAGGGCAGCCCTCCCTGAGGACGCGCCCAGGAGGATCCTCTCACGGAGCCTGGACGCTGAGAAGTGGCGGTTTGGGGCCGGCTGCCGCCTCTCCCCAGGACTCGCTGAGCCCCGCGCCCCTCGGCCCAAGCTCCAACTGAGCTCCCCCCCGCTCCGCCCCAACTGCACCCGGCGCTCCCCGCACCGCCTCAACAGCTACCCCGCGTCCCCCGTGACCCCTGCGCGGAGCAGGAGCCAAGCCCCCGGCGCCGCCAAGTCCGCGCGAAGCCCCGCGAGGGGCGCAAAGTTCCCGTGCCCGCCTCCGCCCGCGCCGGCTGCGACCCCGACCTAAGACAGGCTCAGGGTTGGGCGACGACCGGGATTGCCGAAGGGGAAACTGAGGCCCGCCGCTGGGAGCGGGTCTTGCGGTCACTCACGTGGCAGCGAATCTCCGAAGCCTCCGCCACCGGCCGCGTTCCCCGACGCCGAGTCGCACCCACCGAAGTTGGAGGCAGGAGCGGCGCGCGTGCGCCACGGCGCCGGGCTCCGCGGGGTGCTGCGACCTCCGACCCGGGCTGGCGGAGGAGGAGGTGCGGGGACGTCGGGTGGTAAGAGCGGCCCCCAGGTTTCCCAGACCCTTTGGTACCTACGTCCCCTGCCCCCAAGTAGCCCTCGTGCGCACTCACCGGCCTTGCGCGCCTGGGACCGGTTCTGCGCTCTGGGGCGCCCGGCGGCCGCAGCCGGAGCGGCGGCCGGTAACACCGCCTTGCCGCCCGACCAAGCGGGACTGGCGGCGCAGGTGTGCGCGAGTGAGGGGCGCCTGGCACCGTCCCCGCCCTCGTTGCCTGCAGGCTGCCGCGGGGGTGCGCAGAGGCGGCCAGGTCTCCCGGGGTCCCCGCAGCAGTGTGATGGGGTGTCAGCGGCGGAGGGCGCCAGGAGAGAGGCCGTCAGCACTCATCTGTCAGGGCTCTGGCCCCTGACAGCCGCCTGCCCACCCAAGCCAGGGCCTTGGGGCTGAGCCCCGGGACAGGGGGCCCTCGGGCCGGAGCCAGCCAGGGAAGGGCAGAGCTCAGAGTAGGGAGTCAGAACTGGCTCAGGAGTAGGGTGCCAGAACTGGCTCAGTCCGTGGAGTCTGGCTCTTCCTGGTGACCCCTATCCTCTGTTTCCTTTTTTCACAGCAGGAGGCTAAGTGAATCTGAGCCCCCCTACAGCCCCTGCCCACTGACGACCACCACCTCAGGCTGTCCTGCAGTGCACTCACCTCCTTCTGGGTACACAAACCCCAGCCCTCCCTGCCCACTCTCTTGGGAGGTGCCTCCGGCTGCACCAGACCATGCATTTACCTACTGCTGGAAGGACCCCTCCTGAGGGCACCTGGGAGCTGAAAGGCAGGGCCAGGGAGGGGCTTGAACCTGGAACACACCATGACCTGCTAATGTCATAGTCAGCAAGGCCCTCAGCTTCACTTCCCAGGCTAAAAGATTCCAAGTTGCTCCCTGAGCTGTCAAAACTTAAAGGTCTGTGGTCCCACTTCTCAACTGGGTCCTAGCAGAAATTGGCTTGATCAGCCACTGTGTCCCAGACATGGACACAGATGTTTGACTTTGCTCCCAGGAAGGTATCCTAACTCAGAGATGTGTAACATGGCACTTCAGGTATTACAGGGACTCCAGTGAGAGGGGTGAATGCTGCCCCAGGAGGGCTCTTTAACCCACAGAGCCCCGTGAGGACCCTGGGCTCTCTGTAGGCTCAGCCATAGGCTCCTGGGGTGTCCCCAGCTCAGGTCAGGGGACAGGAGTGCCTTGGGGAAGAAGGAAGGAGAGGCTTCTGGGTGTCACCCCTTGAATGCAGTAGCCAGAGGAGGGCACTGGGTCCAGAGTTCTTGTAAGGCTGGCCCTGGCTTACCTATTTGCAGTGAGGGTGATAGCCAGGGCTTGTGCTGGAAGGGGTCACTATGGTGCTGGCCAAGGATTCTGAGGGTGAGTGCCCCATATCACCTTCCCTGACACAGCCCCCACTCCCATCAGAGAGAAGTCCATGGGCTGGGGCTGGGACTGTGGAGGGTGCTGGGGGTGACAAAGCATGTCAGTCTTCTCTCTGCCTGCCTGGCCTGGCCCAGCTGACCAGCTGACCGTGCAGGCAGCCCCGGGCCGGAGACAGCTTGGGCAGCCGTCATGCCAGCAGCCCTGTGGAGAGTGGGAACCAGGAGGCGGCTCCTGCCCACAGACCCTCTCTGGACATGCTCAGCCGGGCTTGGGCCCCTCATCACAAACACCGACCAGAGAAGCTGGGGACCCAGGTCACACCAAGACGGTGGGAGTGAGGACTCCAGGCTATAGCCCCTCAGTCCCAGGGATGCCCTGTGCCTTCTAGTCCCTCACTAGTCAGCCACAAGCTGATCCCTCTGAAGGTGTGGAAGACACTACAGCTGACTGCATGGGAGATGGGCTGGCTAGAGGCTATGACCATTGTCCAGGGGAAGGATGGCGAGGCCTGGGAAGCCCTGGTCTTGGGATGCCCACCCAGGAGTCAGCATACAGGGAGCAGAGCCCATTGAGGCTTAGGGACAAATGGGCCCTGTGCAGAGGAGGCCAGATGAGCAGGTGGGGCCAGCTCAGCCCAGCAGTGGAATGCTCCCTTGTAGGGCCTTTCTTTGCAGAAGTGTGGGCCAGAGAAGGAAGGGCAGTGTCCAGAGGCATGACTTGGTCACATCTCTGAGCTTCTAGGAGGGTCCATGTAAGGAGGATACTGGCATTGTTCTGGGGTTCTCCAGTTTTCAGCTGGGCTATACCTGGGCAGCCTGTGCACAGGGTGGAGGTTAGGTATGCATGTCAAGCCAGTAAGCTGGTTGCTCAGATGACAATCACCACCATGAATGGCCAGGTAAGACTGGGTCATCAGTACAACCTCTGGCCATGTGCTCTCTGCCCAAGGGGCTCCCTTGCTGGTCCCTCCTGCTGTCCTCCTGTGGTTGTGACCTGCTGCTAGCTCCCAGTCCACACTCCTTGGGCTGCTGCCCCTAATCTGCAGAATAGGTAGTGGGATACATAGTGTTGGGTCACTTCTGGCTTCAGTGGGGTCCTGGGGGGTGAACCTAGGGTACTCTCTTCAGCTAGTCCTGATGCAAGAGGGGGTAGGGACCCATAGACCCTCTTTCTGCCTCCACTCAGAAGCTCATTTCGACCATTAACTTTCTCTGTCTGGTCTGCCCATGGCTGCCCACCTGTCATCTCCATTAATGCTGGGATTGTGTGTGGCAAGGGGGTGGTGGGCAGGATAGAGAGCCAAGACCCAGGGAAGGCAGGGGCAGCAGCAGTTTGACAGGCCAGCAGGGTCTGTAGTGGTACAGTACAGGCCCAAAGGGGGCCTATTTCATCTCCTCATTGTTGGCACACAGCCCTTGCTGGGACTGGCATCAGGGCTAACTGGCTTACACCTGCCCATGGGTGGAGGGACAGAGGTGTGTTTGTCTCACGAGTGGCAGCAGCTCTGGGAGCCCAGGGTGGGGCTGGTGCCACACAGGGTGCTTGACCTGGGATACACGGCAGCTTCCTGAGTGTGCACAAGAACCCCAGGCCCAGAGGGCATCTACCTACATCCTGCAGGCAACATTCTCTTGCCCATTCAGGGTGGCTTCAGGGTCCCCAGGCTGAGAGGCTAGGCCCAGGGCTTGGCCTGGGACAGGGTCAAGCCTTGAGAGCCCTGGGCACCTGCTACATCACAACAGGGACACAGGAGGGCTGTGAGGGGTTCGGGGGCAGGATTATGGCCCATAGGGACAAGGGCACAGGCAAGGCCTGGGGATTCTCCTCCTGGGGGTTGTCTGAGCTGGTTCACCCTCTGCTAGGCAATGGACCCTTCACAGTGGCCTAGGCCACTCCTTCCTGCCTTGTGGCCCTGGCCACCCTAGAGACCACTGCCAAGAGTCCAGCAGTCCAGGCTGGTTGGGGTGGGTTGGGGTATGGGGCTGACCCTCTGTGACACCCCTTGGAGGGGCTGAAGGTGCTAAGTGTGAGTGAGCTCTCTGTTGTGGGGGGCAAGAGATATGGGCCATCAGAGTGGCCAGGAGGGGCGGGTGGGATATGAGGCACAGGCTGCCTGAGCCCCCACCCGGTCTCCAAGCCTGGCACTGGCGAAGTGGTGCCTGGGGCCGACAGCAGCCATATGCTGGGGAGAGGAGCTGCGTGTTGCTCTGCAGCCCCCAGGGTCGGCCTTCCTGGGCCTGTCACAGATGATTTTCCCCGCCTGAGTGGCAGGCAGGCTGGCGGGTGGTGCTGTGGGGGCCTCCAAGCTGGCCCTGTGTCCAGCCTACAATTGCCTTCAACGGCAGGACTGCCCATTCTTGGGCAGACCAGGTGCTGGGCCTTGGGCTTAACCCTCCCCATATTTCATAGAACACTCCCTGCCCATCGTGGCCTTCCCTGTCCAGTTCTAGGCTGAGGGACCTGAGAGGAACCCTAGCCAGCCAGTGGGGGACGGGCCCTCCTGCTCAGACATGGGTGGGGGGCCAGGGGTCCACATTGCGCAGCCATGTGCCCCGGGCAGGTGGGAGAAGGCCGGGAGCTGCAGGCCTGTCAGCCCAGCTCCCAGAGCTGTGCAAAGGGAGGTGGGGAGGCCGCAGTTAATTTGTACACTAAGTGCTTCTGACAGGGGTGCCTCGCAAGTGAGAACACGCCGCCACCCGCCCTGAAGCCACCGTGGCCAACAGTACTGACAGTGAGAGGCTGAGAGAAAGGACCATGGGGGCACGAGGCTGACCTGGGCCAGGCCAAAGGGGAGAGAGGGCCAGGGCCAGAAGCAGGGGCAAGGAAGAGACGGGGCGGGGGGGGGCGGCGGTGGCAGGGGGAGAGAGGGAAGGCACAGTAAGGGACAGCTCCTGGCACTTAGGACTAGTTGACCATTGCTTGTGGCCAGGCTGGCACACACACTCCGAACTGCCCTTGTCTAGCCTGTGAGGCCTTGGTGGGTGAAGCCCTGCTTCAGGCTGGCCTGGCTCTATCTTGTCTCTGCTCCCCAGGTGGCCCCTATCTCCCTGCTGGACGCCTGCCTAGGCTCTGGCCTGATTCCTCTGTGGACCCCTCCCCCACCCATTCCTTACAGGCTGGGGCCCAAAGGCAGAGAGAAGGGTGCAGGTTGAAGATAGCCAGGGTCACTGAGTGGGCTAGGGCGGGGGATGACAGGCCTCTTAGGCTGGTGCTGACTGCACCCCATTCCCCACTCCACCCAGGCAGCAGAGCTGTGACCTCTGCCCACTGTGGAGACTCCTGTCCTGCCATGCCAACAGAGGGCCTCATGGTGTGGTTCATACCCTGAGCCTCCATCCATCTGGAGGCTGCAGAAGCCAGAAAGGGGGTGCCAGGTGAGGCAGGGCCAGGGACAGAGGAACAGGGGCCTTGGGAGGCCTGGGGGTCCCAGGACACCCCAGGAGTGGCTAGAGCCAGGTCTATGCCAGGCACAAGGGTGGGTGTGCGCCTGGTCTCACCCATGGGAGAATTTTCCATGTGGCGCAGCCGTGGTGAAGCAGGGCAAGCGTCCGCGGGCACGGAGGTGAGATGTGTTGTGGCAGCTCCCCCGCTGCCCGAGGCCCGCCTGGAGCGAACACTGCTGGTGGCTTTAATTGCTTTCACATTCGATAGGCTGCCGGTGACAGGCCTCTTAGGCCGGCTCTGGCCGCACCCCAGCCCCCCACTCCACCCAGGCAGCAGAGCCATGACCTGAACAATACAGGACATGGGACAGAGGCCCCTCTGGGAGGGGATTTGGGTGCTGAGTAGGAATAGGAGTGGCTGCCACCTGCTGCAGAAGGGGACATAAAACTTTTTTCCCTACATGCCCCCCTCAATCCATTTGCTCCTGCCTGATAATAGATCAGTTCAGACAGGGCCCTCAAATTCTGAGAAAAGCCATTCTTATATATTGTCCTGTTGGCTGTGAGCGTCCGTCCTATGAGGCTGAGGCCCTAGGGTCTGGTACAGCCTCTGCCCCCTGCCCTGGCACTCACTCCTCCCAGACATGTCTCTAGCTGCCCATTGGAGGCTCATGGTGAGCTGACCTCTACTATGCAGCTCTCCCCCTGGGCCTCTTTGCTGAGGCCTCCTCAAAGGACCTCAGCATGTGCCAGACCCCCACAAGCCACCCCTGGCAGCCCTGATCTGCAGGGCCCATACTCCTGGGAGGACAACAGATAGGTAAGGAGGCATCACTATAAAACAAAATGCTTTTATTTGGTCCATTGGAGCCTGAGTCTGGAAACCACCCATGGAGAACTGTATTGTACAGGGATGGGGACTGACAAGTGATAAAATAGTCTCTGTGTCAGAAGAGCTGGCCATATTTACAGGGTTAAAAATATTCACAGCTCAGAGTAAAAGGATGCCCAAAGGGAAGAGGGGAATGTTCTTCTATGTGTAAAAACCCCACAGGCCCCAAGGATATGAGGGCTGGGGGCGGCAGGGCAGTGAGGGCCAGCTGGGGGACCCAGGAAGTTGGCCTTCAAAGCGGCTGGGGGTGATGCTAGGCAGATGGGTGACTCAGCTCCCTGGGCTTTTGGTTGGGGGGAGGTGGGATCAGCTGCACCCTGCTTGTGCCTGTGATGGGGCTGAGGGTCCCTCTCTGCCACAGGGCCAAGGCCATGGACCAGGCTGGCCAAGGACTCTGCTGGACCCTGGCCTGCCTGGCAGTAGGCTGGCAGAGCTGAGGACAAGGTGCCTCCCCAGACAGTAGGCTGGGCCAGGCTCCCCACCCTGCCACCCTGGTCATGGCTTCAGTCCTAGAGGGTGCTCCATGAATTGCATAGTGTCACTGGAGGGGGCGGTTAGATAGGAGACACCCTCCTTCCGGAGACAGGCACCTGCCTCCCAGGACATGCCTCTTGGTGCCAGGCTCTGGGGCACCTCCAGGGAACCAGGAACTGGGCTCTGGAGCAGGCCAAGAAGGTTCTGACCTCAGGGCCCACAGATGGTGGTCACTGATCTCATCAAAGTGGTAACCTCTGACACCAGATTTGGTTTTGTGAATAGCTCTTGGTCACCCTTGCTCTGGCAGGAGTCCCCAAGTCCCCGGGGAGAGGCAGCTTGGCCTCAGACTCGCCTTGCTGAAGCTGCCCCAGAGGTTGGCTACAGCCTGCCTAGTTCGAGGTATTCTGCTTGGCTGCCAGAAGGCCTGGTCAGGTGGACTATGGGTGCTGGGGGCCCATGGGAAGCTGCAACCAGAGGCTCCCTGGGCAGGGTCCTGAGATTCTGGCTCAATCATCCTCCATCGGGGTCTCCCTCATAAAGTGCATGTGGAGGGCAGGTGGGTATCCATCTGCTCACAGCCCAGCCCCAGGCACGGTGGTTACAGTGGCCGGGGCCCATGTAGACCAGCCACCTCAGGCGTGAGTGGGGGGCTGTGGGAGCCCTTGGAGACTGTCCAGTCACTGAGGAAGGCCTGGGCTGCCTTGCGGTGTGCCAAGCGGTGGGTGATGGAGAACCCGGCGTTGCCCTCCAGCTGGGACAGGATCACTAGGACCTGCCTGAAGGAGGGGGCGGTGAGGGCCAGTGGGGCACAGGGGCTGGTGAAGACTGGTGGGGCAGTGCCCAGGGGCGGGTAAGGGCTGGTGGGCACCAGGCTGGGGCAATAGGGCATGGGGCAGGGCACCCACCTGTGCAGGGGTGGCACACTGTCCTGGGTGCGCAGGCTGCCACGTGTGGACACCACATTGAAGCTGTCTGTGCAGTCGCACTGCACATGTAGGAAGGATCTTGGATGCCGGTTCTCCACCACCACGATGAGCCCCGCCCAGCCGTGTGTTAGGTAGTAGCAGGTCATGCCCTCCCGGCCCTGGGCACAGGCACAGGTGCAGGCATGGGGTGGGGCTGGGGCAAGTTGCTCCCTGGCCACCCCCTGGGCCTTCTACCCACCTCATGGCGTTCGCCCCGGCTTTCCGTGAGCAGGATGATGGCGTCGGCCAGTGTGGTTGGCTGGGCCTCCACTGGCTCTACCATGACCAACCGAGAGCTGTACACAGCTAGCACGTGGCCAGGTGGCTCAGGGACACTGCGTGGGACTCCTGCTGAGGGGCTAGAAGCTATGGGGAGGGACAGTGTGAGCCACAGCCCTTTCTGCTAGCATGGGCCCTGGGCCTGGGGTGGGGGCATTACCTTGCACAGAGGGGGGACCCGGTGGGGTGGGGCTCCAATGGTTGAAGGCACAGCACACCACCGCATACTCGCCGGGCTCCAGCATGACATCACAGTTGACAAACTTCTTGACAGCGCGTTTGCTGTGGGCTAGGAGGCGGCCCAAGCTCAAGTGGCCGCCGTTGCCAAAGGTAGCCCGGAATACCAGGATGCACAGGTCCAAGAGGTGGCTGTCCACTGCATCTGAGCGCCTGCAGGCCAGATACCAGAAGCTGAGATTATGTCATGTGATTGTGGCCATTGGCCTCCAGCTCCCAACCCGCAAAGCCTCTGTGATGCCCACCTGCTGCCCTCCTGGAAGAGCGCAAACTCCAGCGAAGCCCGCTCAAGCACCGTTAGTGCTGTCACACCCACAGGCCCACTGGCCGAACTGGGGAAGCAGCCCTGAACGCGTGCCTCCTGCCAATCTGAGTGCACCTTGCAGATGTCCACAGAGTCAAAGTACCTGGCAGCAGGGAGATGGGCCTGAGCCTTGTGCAGCCCACTTGCAATTTGTAGTATAGCTGCAGTCTTCACACACCCTAGCCTCCTGGGACCAATGTGGGGAAGCCCTTCAGGAGGCTCTTCCAGTGGGACATGCTATCTTGCTACTGCTGCCAGGACACCACCAAGGGGTACCAGGCCCAGAACACTGGGAAATGGTAACACCACTGACCCTGCAAACCTGCATTCTAGATCTGTACTTAGGACCTGTGGCCCAGATCCCCTATATACTCTGAGTCACGGACAAGTTGCCCCTGCCCCAGGCCAGCAGGAATCTTAGGCTATGCTCCTAGAGAAGAACTCAGCCCCAAATGGGTGGTAGGGCATCATGTGCCCCTGGCCTGTGGTGTTCAGGTACCTGATGAAGTCACTGTATTCCATCCAGAAAACGCCCTCACTGCTGCCACGTGGCATGAGCTCACCACGCAGGTGCACTGGCCAGTGTGGCCATTCGTCTGACCAGCTGCCATTCCAGGAGAAGCGGCCCCACGGGTTCCGGAGCCGTAGGAGCCTGTGGACCACAGGGCTGACAGACAGGACCGCGCCACCCACGGCTCCCACCCGTGTCCACACACCTGCTACCTGTGGCCAGCCCGGCCCCTACCTGGTGCCCTGGATATCGCGGACATCCAGGATGGAGTATGCATGGCGAGGGCGCAGGCCCAGGCTCTCGTAGGCAGAGTCATCCACCTTCATGTTCCCCCCACCGCAGGAGGCACCCATTAGGAACCTGTGTGGGCAGAGAAGCCTCTGATGACATGAGACCTTGCCAACCAGGGAACCCTTTCCAACCTTGGCCCTGCCCTCAGGAGAGGGAGGAGCTGCTTGGTAGGGGGAGGACCACAAGAGACACTGTCAGGAAGGGGAGGCCTCACCCCCTCACATGCTGGAGAGCAGGGAGGGCCTGGGTCCATGAGGCACAAAGTAGCCATGCAGTAGTGCTGCCCAGCAGCAGCTGAGGGCAGGTCTCAGCACCACAAGCCCCTCCCCAAGGCTTCCCAGGGGCTAAACTTAGCCAGATGACCAGTGTGTGGCAGATCTCAGAACATGCCCCACCCCACTGGGCAGGAGGCTGTTCTACCGAGCTCTGTGCAGAAGGCAAGGGTCATCTGGGCTCTCATTAGCCTAGGCTAGGATGCGGTCTTCCTGGCATGGGAGGGGGGAGGTGACAGGGCTACATAGGGCCAAATCCTGGCCAGGCTCCTGGCTGTGGGCTGTCTGTACCAGGGGCACCATGGACATAGGGTGCAAGTCAGAGGGCACTCGTCCCCCGCTTCTCCCACCGCTCCGCTCGCTGCTACAGTGCCCGCCCCTCTTACCCAGCCTCCTTAGAACTCAGCATTTTGGCCCAGATGAGGTCAGTGTCAACGGGCTCCTCGCGGGGGTTAGTGGAGCTGACCTGCAGCGCCAGGCTCTCGCAGGGGGCGCCGGTGAGCGTGGCCAAGCCTTCGATGGCACGCCCCGCCTGGAGTGCAAAGTAGGAACCGTGCAGCTTGGCCAGCGCCTTCTCGATGAGGGCCACCCAGAGCTGCTTCCGCTGCGCCTAGAGAGGGACTAGAGTCAGGAACTGCCTGCCACCATGCCCACTGCCCTGCCCACTAATCCCCACCTTCCCCACCTGCGAGAAGAGAAGGAAGCCAGCCTCATCGCAGGGCAGCATGTCATCCACCAGCACCGTCGTCCACGTGCCGTCCTTGCACAGACGCACCTGATAGGCGCCTTCCGCACATAGGCTACGTGTGACCATCACCCGCTCAACTAGGTCTGGCCGCTCAGCCAGCACTGCCAGTGCACTCAGGAACCTGCACAGAGCCAGGTGGCCTCAGCAGGAGACCTTGGACAAGCCACCCCAACTGCCCTCCCTTGGGCCAGCTGGTCCCAAGAACCTAGAGCCTCACCAGCAGTTCCCCAGAAGCCCCTGTAGGATGTCTGAGGGCCGGAGTGTGTGGAAGACAGACCATGGGGCCCCCTGGTCTCTGAAGACAGAGCAGTTGATCTCATGGGGCCGAAGCCACTGCTTCACACGCTGCTGGACGCTGTCACCCACAGGGAAGCCCACTGACTCTGGCCCAGGAGGGAAGCTGTCATCCACAAAGTTCACGCTGTTCTGCAGAGACCACAGCCGGTCATTCAGCTTGGGAAGGGTAGCCTTGGGTTCAGGGTGGGTCTCCTTCTGCCTGGTAGTTCCTGGGAATACTGCCATGCCCCAGGAGGAAGGCATGGGGCATGTGCAGCCTACAGGCTTCAGCTCAGCCCCTGACCTGTGCAGGCACAGTGATGGTAGCAAACTGGCTAAGACACTATTGGCCAGCAGCAGGTGGGAACCAAGGGTACAACAAAGCTCCTAGCTGGAGGCCACAGGTATGATGGGTAAGGGGTGAAGAGAAACAAGTACCCTGCCACTCAGGACAGCAATATCTCCTATCCCTGGCCCTGCCTGGGGAAGGTGCACACTTCTCTTCTAGCAACCTGGTGATGCCACCCCAGGGTCAGGCCTCCTGAAGATCATAAGGCAAAGAGCAAGAGTGAGATTCAGTAGGGTCTCCACACTCCCCCAGAAGCACTGCCTGCCTATGGGTTGATACACAGAGGGTGCCAGGGAACCTCCTGGGTGTGGGGGAGAATGGGGTGTGATGTGGTGAATGTCACACTTTCCATCACCAATAAGGACGGGGATAGGGAGCCAGGCTGGATGCTCAGGGACTGGGAAGAGAGTGCTGCCCACTGTATCTTGGCCTCACTGGCTCACCATGGGCTCCTCCCCAGGCTGCAGCCAGACCCCATAGCCTCAGGGGCAAATATGAGGGGAAGACTGACGCTATAAGGAGGTGCGGGCATGGCACTTACCTCACGGCAGAAGGCCACGATGTTCTCCCACAGGGCCTTGGCTTCGCCCTCATCTGTCTGCCGCCGCTTCTCCACATGCATGCTCTCCCTGCGCCGCAGGGGTGCAGTCCCTCGGCGCTGGGCCACCAGGAGCTGGGGCGTATGGCAGGCAGCGCAGTGGTTGGCCTGAGGTGTGTTGAGCAGGGTGCATGCGGGGCAGGCCCACTGGCCAGGGCGCTCAGGCAAGAGGCGGGTGGCCTTGTGAGCTAAGGGCATCCGTCCACAGCTGTTGCTGCAGGGGCCAGGCTTGTCAGCGATGCAGTCAGGGCAGCGGGCAGGTGGCTCACTGTGTTCCTGGAAGCCATGCAGCTTGGAGCAGCCGCAGACTGTGCACCTGGGGACCGCTGTGGGGTTCCTGAGTGTGCACCTGGCACAAGACCAGGTGGTGAAGTCGGGGCTGGAGGGGCTGGCAGGTGTGTAGCGTACTGTGTCCCCTGCCAGGTCTATGATGTCGCTGCCTAAAGTGGAGCTGCTGGCCTCCATGTGGGTGGGGCTGGCCTCCATGGCCTCCTCCTCTAGCACACTCAAGCGCTTCCCTGACAGCAGCTCTGCCAGGCGGGAGGCCCCAGCTGAGGCCCCAGCTGAGGCCCGCCCTGGGCCCTGGAGGGGCCCTCTGGAGCCACTAGGGGGCGAGGGCTGAGCAGCCTCAGGCACCAGTGGCTGCAACTGGGGGGGGACCTCCCGGCGGCTGCGGGGTACTGGGTTGTTCTGCATGGTAGCTGAGAAGGGGCTAAAGGGTGGCACCCTGGGGGATTCTTGGCCAGCAGGGGCTGGGTCAGCCTCAACACTGTCCGTGGGCAGGCCCAGGTGGGGCACTGCAGGCACAGCATGGAAGCCAGCAGGTGCCACAACTTCAGGGACCACCAGGGCCTCAGGTGGGATCCTGGGCAGTGAGAGCTTCCGCGGCCCCCCGCAGGCAGAGCAAGAACTGGCCACAGGCGTGTTGTATAGAGTGCATCGTGGGCACGCCCAGCCTTTTCCTGGTGCTGCCTCCTCTGCCTCCAATTCGGGGTGCCTCACGGCTGGCTCCATGGCTACCAGCCCCGCTGTCCGCACTGGACCTGCCTCCTCCTTGCAGCTGCCCTTAGGCTCTGCCAGGACAGTGGGTGGCTTGGGGAGGGCCCCATTGATGATGGGCAGGGTGGCCCCAGGCAAAGGCTCTGGGATGAAGCCGCATAATTCACAGGCCTCCCTGCCTAGGAGGTTCCGGAAGGTGCAGCGGGCGCAGGGCCATTTCTGCTCTTCCACGCTGAGCCGCAGGATCTGGTCGAGGTCAGGTTTGTGCCGGGGAGCCTCACAGATGGAGCACTGGCGCTGGCCCGCGGGGTTCAGGAAGGTGCAGCGGGCACAGGACCACTCCCCGACTGTGGCCATAGACCCAGGCGAGTGGGTGTGGCTACAAGGGAAGGTGCTGGTCAGGTGACCCTGTGAGGTCTCTGTCAGAGGACCCCACTCTCCTGCTGGCCTAAGAAAGGGAACCTGCCTGTGCCTGCAGGGCTGGTGTTCTGAGAGGTGCAGCCAGCTTGGGGCTGGGCTATGCTCTCATCACAGCCGAGCATGTGGGCAGGTGGGGCAGCTGACTCTGCCCAGGACTGGTTCACAGCTCAGGGACCCTTACCCATCAGGGCAGACCCCTCAAGCCCCAGTTTGGGGCAGGTGCAGGACTTTGGGGGAGGACTGGGGCCTCCACAAGCTGGACCTGCCCTCCGCAGGGACTGCACTTGCCCAGCCACCTGTGGTACATAGCAGTGTGGGCACCAGAGGCTGGGAGGCAGATGTACCTGGCACCCTGTAGTGGGCACTGGCGCAGGGCAGGCTGCCTGCAAACGTGGGTATGGCTTTCCGTGCTGGGAGCTCTGGCCCCTGGCTTGATCGTCCCACAGGTATGGAAGAGAAGCTCAGGCCCCTGGTGGGGCAAGGGGAATGTGTCCTTAGTTCCTCTGGGCCTTCACAACAGGATCTGGGATGAAGTAGTGCTGGTGGGGTGGGGGTGGGGTATCTCTACATCCCACTCAAAGTTTCCTCAACTGACTGCAGCTGCTCTGCCTGGCAGAAAAATCAATTGTTCTTTATAGCATGGCATGAATCTTGTACGTCTAACACTATGTTCTAGCTTAAGCCTTTTTGGTTCAGGAAGAAAGAAAACTTGCCTTTTTCAAATAAACCTAAAAAACAAGAAATCTCTCCAAGCAACACAACTGCTTCCCAGAGCCCAGAGTGACCTCTGCAACACTGTCTTCCTGGTGCAGGTGGGAAATGCAGGGAGAGCTGGGCTCAGCCCTGAGTGGATGAGGCTCTAGGTGCCTGGGGGGAGCTGATGGGGTAGGCAGTACTGGGGCCGGGCTTGAGCACCTGGCAGGAGCCATGCAGCCAGGGTTGAGGCTCCATGCTGGGAATAGGCTGAGAAATCCACTGATGACGACCAGACCCCTCCCTCCCACTCCTCACCTAGGAAAGAGCCCATGGCCAGCACTAGGTGTCTGTGGAAACATACTCGCCTGCAGGCTCCACCCCGCACACCCACTGGGCCTGGATGGATGGCCCAGAGGGTCCCTGGTGGGCAGCAGAGCTGGTGTGACCCTTTACAGCTCAGTGCCCAGAGAAGACTCAGGCCTCACAGGACTGGGCACCCAGTCTAAGAGGCTGGGGCCCTCCTGGGACATACCCTGCCCTAAGCCCCAGGCTCTGTTTGTCATAGATAGCAAGGGCCCCAGAAACACTGGGAAGTCTATGACTCAGGGTAAGGGCAGGTGTCAGAGCTGTCTTGGTGAATCAGAAGATTCTGTCTGCAGTTCAGGAAGATTTAAATGAGGTAGTGCCTAAAAGTCAAGGGAAGCCCTCAGGAAACAGAAGGTGAGCAGGGGCTTTCTTTCTTTCTTTCTTTCTTTTTTAAAGAGACAGAGTCTCATTTTGTCACCCTCAGTAGACTGCCATGGCATCACAGCTCACAGCAATCTCCAGCTCTTGGGCTTAGGCAATTCTCTTGTCTCAGCCTCCTGAGTAGCTGGGACTACAGGCACCCGCCACAATGCCCAGATATTTTTTTGTTACAGTTTGGCTGGGGCAGGGTTCGAACCTGCCACCTTCAGTATATGTGGCTGGTGCCTTACTCACTGAGCCATAGGCACTGCCCAGCAGGGGCTTTATATAGCTCGAAGAAAACTTGTCAAGGACCAGAGACTCAGAATGTCTGGGGTCCTGTATCCCCTTATCGAGTCTGCACAGACCTTTCCAATGGGTGGGCCAACATGGAAGGGGCTGAGAGGTCAGTGGCCAGTCTTCAGATCCTTCAGCCCATGGCTGGGTCTTCACAACCCAATGGCCACTCCCAGGGTCACCCTCACAAGCCGCACCATCCCTGGGGGAGGCCAGACTACCAAACAAAACCTATACCAGGAGCTTGAAGATTCAAACCAAGGACTCAGAAAAGACCTTTCAGAATTCTCAACATACGATGCTCCTAAAATAGCCAGGCACCGTGGCTCATGCTGTAATCCTAGTACTCTGGGAGGCTGAGGTGGGTGGTTTGCTTGAGTTCAGGAGTTTGAAGCCAGACTGAACAAGAGTGAGACCCCATCTCTACTATAAATAGAAAAAATTAGCTGGAGAGTGCCTGTGGCTCAGTGGGCAGGGCATTGGCCCCATATACTGAGGGTGACGGGTTTAAATCTGGTCTGCCCAAATTGCAACAAAAAAATAGCTGGGCGTTCCGGCAGGTGCCTGTAGTCCCAGCTACTTGGGAGGCTGAAGCAAGAGAATCGCCTAGGCCCAGGAGTTGGAGGTTGCTGTGATGCCACAGCACTCTACAGAGGGCAATAAAGTTAGACTCTGTCTCTTAAAAAAAAAAAAAAA